TTGATAGTTTACCTTATGCACTCATCTGGATACGTATCACAATCGGTGATGCATCGAAAGCGCTGCCAAGACATCCAACCCATGGGTGGCCTGCAATGGATTAGACACTTAAATCTACGTTCAAATCCAAATCAAATGCGACTTACGTTAAAGCCAGTCCATTATCAAGTGCAGAGCCAGCGCGGAGCAACTGCATCAACAGCAGCAGCAGCAATGGAACGTTCCTCATGCCAAACATACTTTAACTAGAGTAATGCAGGCAATGCGTGCTGTCCACCCCGCAGTAACGGTTTTATAGCTGTCTATCTGTAGATAACTGTTGTTTGCCAAACTGCTTGAGCAAAGAAACAAAATTGGCTGACAAGCGATAATTGTTAACTGTAGTAATTGAAGAGCATTCGAGTACACAGCTTGAACTGCGTACTCGAGTAGTTCGCACAGCAGGGAGACACAGCCGTGAGCAGTGTTGATGTTGGGACTGGAAAGTCTCCTTATCATCAGCTGCAAGTTCAGGCGCTCAAGCGTTACAGGTTATCTACTCTTAGCCCCTGGCTGTTACACAAGCCAACAAAACGCAGCTACACTTACCAGTCCTTACCACACAGCAGAATAAATTATACGAATATGCTTCACTGTAATAAATAATCAATTACCAAAATTAAGGCATCCATTAAGCCCAAGTTTAATAAACAAAACCAATTACTCAATTTTGTCGCGCAATGTACTTTTGCGTTCGCCACATACAAAAACACATAGAAAAGTAACTGTTTAAACCACCATGGCTGCCGGCTTCCAATGGACTCTCAAGTGCTTTTAATTAAAAAGGAAAAAACAACTGTCTAAATATTCTTGACCCAAATGGTATTTATCAGACACTTCCAGATAAAGGAGAACATTATGACAAATCAAAATAAAATCCAATTAGACGTAGCATGGCAATTTATCTAGTCGCTTATTGTGAAATGTTTTACATACAATAGAGTATTTCAATTGAGTTTTCTGTGTCCAGATTTGCGCGGGCGGTTTAATTCACGATTGAGATTTGTTATTGTTAATTCCAGCTGAGCTTGTTATTAAAAATACCAAAACGTAAAACATGTATACACAGCCACATTGTTATCGATAAGTTGGGAAATATTCAGTGGGCTTTTTATTGAGCGCAATGGGAAACGCATTCCAACTGCCTGCAAACATAACAAACAGCCTGGAAGCATAAGTACCTTGTTTTCGGTCACCTGTTACATTAAAGATGTTTATGAGCAATTTGCAAAAAATTTCGAATACAATTATAAAAGCAAATAAATGAAACCGTTTTTTATTATTGTACATACATATGTATATGTGGACATGTGAAAATAACTGCTCGTGATCTGGAACTCAGCTGCTGCGAATCTCCTCATAGCGCTGTAAATTTATAGAAGCTGACGCCTAAAATTAATTAAAAAAATATTAAAAAAAAAAAAAAAAAAAACAAATTAGAATTCAATTCGATTGATAGG